CCAGATTTTGAACATGTGTTCACATTTACAATACTGTATGAATATAGGGGTTAAGTTAGGATATACATGGCGATGGTTTTTCCACCGTTGTAATGGACTCTCGATACAGGTGTACGTGTAGATGAGCCATCTCCAATTAATTGATCAAAAATACACCATGGATTTAAGTCATCTTTATTGGTTTCTTTTTCTTGTACTGGTTGATTTTCAATAGTACAATCTTCTTGTTCGTTAATTATAGAAGTAACCAGCTTCTTAACTTTTTCTTTTATTTTTTTATCTTCATTTTTATCAGAAAAACCCTGCACTTTAAATGGTGAATCCATAAATGTACATAATGACAATATGCCACTCTGTTCTATCCCTTTAAATATTTTTGCTAAACCCGATATTAGTAATTGTACTACGTCGGATACTATGGATGTAAGGTTACCGTTTGCTAAAATTTTCTTGCAAGATTCTTGCAGGCCGCATACCATAACAATCACTGAACTACCCTTCAAGTATTTTTGGTCATTCATTGTACTTGTTATTTCTTTAAACGACCGTAAAATTTGGGAAAGCTGAGAACAAATAATCCAGTGTTTTTTATTTAGATTTGGTCTAAGTCTAAGTCTGTATTATTTAATACCGATGTGGAACGGAAATACACACCAGTACACCAAAAATATCAAAATACAGAGAGGAGTCCGCCAGGGTTGCGTGCTGTCCCCACTACTTTTCAATGTCTACAGTGAAGCGGTATTTTAAGAAGCGCTCTCAGACTCAATAGAAGGTATATCTATCAATGGAGAAGTTTTGAATAACTTACGTTTTGCAGACGATACAGTAATAATTACGGATAACAACAATGATTTACAGAACCTAATGCAACGCCTTAATGAACGCTGTCATGAGTACGGACTGAAGATAAATTTAAAGAAAACTAAATGCATGATCATGACTAAATCTGCACATGCAAATATCCAATTGACTATTGAAGATACTGCAATTGAGAGTGTTAATAACTATAAATACTTAGGAACATGGATAACATCAGATGTAGACCAAACCAAAGAAATTAAGACACGTATTGAAATAGCACGTACATCATTTATTAAACTTAAAAAGTTTCTTTGTTGTCGGGATATAAGGTTAGAACTACGCCTGAGAATGCTTCGATGTTACGTGTTCTCTACTCTTCTTTATGGTCTGAAAGCTTGGACACTAAAACAAGTTCATCTGAATAAGTTGGCCGCCTTTGAATTTTGGTGTTACAGAAGAATCCTACGAATATCATGGATTCAAAAAATGTCAAACATTGAAGTAACTAGAAGGATAGGAAATGAGGCAGAAATAATATTAACTATTAAAGGACGAAAACTTGAGTACTTGGGACATGTGATGAGAGGGCAAAAATACGCATTATTACAACTTATTATGCAGGGCAAAATCCGAGGAAAGCGAAATGTGGGAAGACGAAGAATATCCTGGCTTAAGAACTTAAGGGAATGGTTTGAATGCAGTAGTGCAGACCTTTTTAGAGCGGCAGTCAACAGAGTCGGCATAGCCATGATGATTTCCAACCTTCGATAGAAGATGGAACTTAAAGAAGAAGAAGTGAAACGGATTGCCTCTTCTAACTCACTCATTCTTTTTAACCTGTAATATGTGAAGTTCTACCTAGTTTCCACGTCTTGGATTGGCCGTTTGGGAACTTTGTTATGTTGTAATTAATACTTTAAAAGCCTCTCTGAAGATAAGGTACTTTTTTTAATGTGTTTTTTGCAGAATTGTCGAAAAAAGGACTTTTTATTTTATCTATTATCAAATCAGTTTTGACATAACATTCCTGAAGTAATGAATCTAACAGTTTTTCTTGTTGGCGGTTTATATCTAGGAATCCACCCTGCAAACTTTTTAAAAGCTGGCCCTTCACCTATAGAAAACGGATGAAACGAGTCTTTGCATAAGTTTAGTAAATCAATAAGTTTAGTCAAGAAAAAGAAACTGATAAAGATGACTTAAGTCCATTGTGTATTTTTGATGAATTAATTCGACATGACTCATCTAAACATACACCTGTATCGAGAGATATACAAGAAGTCGACATGTATTTGTCTGAAAATATATTGCCCACAATAAAATTCGAACGGAGATTTTAACTGTCCATTACTGTGGTCGAAAAACCATCGCCATGTATATCCTAACTTAGCCACTATATTCATAAAATATTGTAGTATTGTAACAAAATCTTTTCCTTGTGAACACATGTTTAAAATCTGGTTTAATTTTAAATAAAAGAAGAACACGGTTAACAAGAAAAGTGAAAAAACTTGTTTTTAAATGTCAATTTAGACGATTCGCGATTTAATAATAACGTGTAATGTAAATGTAAGTACGATTTAATGTAAATGTAAGTACTATTTGTATTGTTTAATTTATTTTTCAAGTTATATTAAATATATCCTTCGTTAGGTTCTTTCACTTCAATACTTATACACACAAACGATAATAGCCAATATGTTTGTGTACTCGCTAATTTGAATCAACTAGTTACAGTTTACGAAAAACGGTTCCGATAAAAATTTAAAAAACGGGAGGACCCACCTCTAGTTTTTTAGGTATATTAGGATCGGAACCAGAGAATATGTAAAATATCTCTGATCGGAACTATTCGTCTCACTAATGGCCAATAGGTGTTAAAAATATTTGTGGAGGGGAGACCAAGGGGAAATATGATTGTTATCTTTGTCTATTCGCTGAAAATATGATTTTATATCTGCGTTAGATATCCTGTTAAATTTTACCATACCGACCATAAACTTTTACCTATACTGTATATATATATATATATATATATATTTATATATATATATATTATATATATATATATATATATATATATATCATCATCATCATCATCATCATCATTATCAGCGTATTCTACCAATTATGGTGCAGCCTCCCTTACATAGTCGTTCTTCATGTCTGCCTACGACTGTCTAATATTCGCTTTTCTGTGCCATGGGTGTACCGGCTTGTTTCCTTATGTCATAGTCCCATCTTAAATTTGGACGTCGTCTTGGTCTCTTGACGCCTCTTGGATACCACAGAGTAATTCTAGTGGACCATCTATTGTCAGTTCTTCTTGCTAAATGTCCCGCCCACTGCCATTTTAAAGATTTTATTCGGTGGATTACATCAGTGACCTTCGTTTTCTGTCTGATCCATTCTATTCTTTTTCGATCTCTCTTGGTTATACCTAACATGCATCGCTCCATTGACCTTTGAGTTTAGCTATTATATCTTTCTTTAGTGTGTTTGGTATTACCCAACCCCTTATATATATATATATATATATATATATATATATATATATTATATATATATATATATATATTATATATATATATATATATATAAGTAAAAAGTAATGGCATGTCTCGCAAAACAAAAAACGAAAAATGGTATATCGATGGAAGGCAACCGTATATACGTATTTCTGACTAATGGTCGTCTTCAGTACGGTGCAGCCAAGTTAGAAAAGGAGCATATTAACTTGGGAAAGGATCACTACAGGAGCAATGCAACCAATTTGTGGCATTAGAGTTAGAAGACCCTGATGGTTTCCAGGGTCACTGGAACAACCAACACTAAAACAAATATATATGTTATATGCATTGTACCAACGAATGTTCCTTATCACGACGATTTCCAGGGTATCAGGTTTCCACTTCCAACAACCTGAGCCGATAAGGATCCTTACACATGCAGTACCAGCAGAGTTAGCGGGACCCAAGCTTTTTATGCGTTCCCACTGAGTCAACATTTATTAATATTATAAAACCACTTCGTCGCTCTTTATTTTCGTTCATTATATTTTTACATTTCATTCATTATATTTTTATAGTTCATTACATTTAAGTATTTGTAACACGTAATTTTGATAATTGTATTTTTGTAATAAATTAATTTTTTTAAAAGTCAAAAAAATGTTTCGTAATATAAAAAGAGGCGCAGTAGCAGTAGGATCTGGAAACGTTGGCAGAACAAGGAAGAACCTTACTGACAACGGTGGATTCCAATCCTTTAATCAGAAAAAGAACCAGTAACCTCCAAAAAGCAGTGCCGTCCTAACTTTGCAGAAATCTACGGAAGAAACACCAAGTGAAGCCCCTGGTGGATTAGCTGTCGAGAACAAGACGACTTGATGTTTTTGGAACTCATGTAAGTCTAATATTGAATCATCTCGTATATAATTTTTGTTTTATACCTTTTATTACCATATACTGTTCGATATTCCAATATTAAATATTCATTTAATTAATAATTTTATGCCGAATTTGAATATTTTTTGATAATTACTTTAATAATTATAAACTTTTGGGGATTATTCTGTAAATCGTCAACTTTTTTATTTTTCATTTTATTAAACGATTACTTTTGTCGATTATTCTGCTAATTAGACACTGTCTTAGAAAAATACTTTTCCGATGAATTATTATTTTAATATTTACATTTTCGATTTATTATTTTGATATTTATATTTTGTTTTATTATTTAATATTTATATTTGATTAATTATTTAGTTAATTAATCCATAATCTTATATTTTTATTTCTGTTTCGTTTATTGATTTATTAACCACCATGAATGATAACGCCTGAAATAGAACCTTACAAATTATCCGGAATATTTTCTATCGTACCCGAATTTGAAGGTGATCAGATATTTTTACACACATTTTTAAATGCTTGTGATTATGCCTACAATATGTCTACGCTTGATCAAAAACAACTATTAGTAACTCATATAAAAATAAATTACGCGGAAGAGCAGCACAACTTATAAGTTCAAGAAATCCATTATCGTATCTAGAAATCAAACAGCTTCTTACTTCTCATTTTGCAGACACTAGAGACCTATCTTCTTTGATACAAGATTTACAGAGAGTCAAACAACTTCCGAATGAATCGGATCTTACATTCCTTAATCGTGTCCAAGTCCTTAATGCAAAAATGCATGCTAACATACAGAAATCTAACCTCTCTGCTGTAGAGAAACATGCCCAAATTGTATTAATCGAATCAATAGCGCTCAATACCTTATTGACCGGCCTCAATCCAAAAATCGCTCATATTATTCGTGCTAGTAATCCAAAAGACCTTCTTGAAGCTCAAATCCGCATCAGACGAGAGTTACAATTATCCTATTTCGAAATACAGAAAATTAATCGACCCAATACTCCAAAACCCAGTCAAAATAATCAACTCATCAGAAGACTAAACCTTCAATCACATAGATGCACATTTTGTGGACGTATTAGCCACTCATACAACGAATGTCGTTCTCGACAAAATTTGGGATAAATCTCAAAATAAATTTAATGGCCCTTTTGAAATCCAAGAAATTCACGTAAATTCTGCTACTTTATTAAATACCCAAACCAATAGAACAATGAAAGTAAATTTTGATAGATTAAAATCCTATCATGAGTAATTTTCTTTCAGATTCCTCGGACTGATCCCAGTCATCCTCTCCCAGTATACGTTAACCCCAATCAACAACACTGTTGGAATCTTTTTTCATGAAGAAACCAATCTCAAAATTTCGAACGACAAATGGACCCTCCTTATATATAAGGACATGCAACCAATCAGAGACGTTATCGACAAAAATGACAAAGTCTTAGAAAATTTATTGGATACTATTGAAGAAGATGTACCTCGAATGCTGGCATTTAAATCCGAAGTTCAAACTCACATAAGTCTTCTCAAACAAATCTCTAGTTCTGTTAATCTCAAATAAACAGAAATAATGGCTGATACGAAACAATACACATTCCGAGAGAAACGCGGACTTATTAACGGAATAGGTTCGATATGGAAATCAATTACCGGCAACTTACATTCGTCAGATGGCGAATATTTCAACGAATGTATAAATAAAATAACCCGCGATGAGTATCAAATCGAAAACTTATTGAAAAATCAAATATCGGTTACCACTTCTGTCATTAAAAACTTTAACGCCACAATCCGGAAATTACAAATACATGAGGAAACATTCAACAATAATATTAAAGAAATTCGAGTCAATAATGGATATCTCTGACCAATTAAAATTCTATCAATCACAAATAGATATGCTAAACTTTTGTGAGTTACTAATGGAAAGCTATTCATTTATCGAAGACTCTTTAAATGAAATAGTAAATGTCATAACCTTCACTCGATTAAAAATATTACACAGTTCAATCATCACCCCGTTTGATTTAATTGAATCGCTTAGGCATATATCACAATCATTACAAAAAATACTCTTCCATTATCAATCTATACTTCAAATCTAGCTCAATATCTCGATATTATCGAATTGCAAGCCTATCAACTAGACACAAGAATTGTGTTTGTCTTAAATATTCCTTTAACTGATGCAGAACAATATACTTTATATTGTCTCTATCCAATACCAATACTGGATAATCGAACAGACCTTCATTCAATATTAACAACACATAAATACATTGCGCGAAACGATGATTCATTGTTATACCTTACAATAAATAGCCTCGAGTCATGCAAAACTTTGCGAGCTCGAACCAAGATTTGTTACAACACACTTCCATACCCAATCGACAGCGATGCCATATGCGAAGCCCAACTTGTGAAACGACAAGAACGCCTTCCCAGAACATGTCAGACTTCCGTAGTATTTGTCAAAGATTACAACGTCCAGAAGATCAATATAAACCTGTGGCTCATAACAGTTTCTGATCCACTGCCTATTACCATCAAATGCGAGTCCAGAGACGTCAAATCAGAAATTATTTACACAAACCATGTACTTAAACTACGACCCACGTGCGATGCCTTTATTAGTAGTACAAGAGTACACTCTCAGAAGTTGATCGACGTCCACGACAATGTTACATACAGAAGTCACCCAGTCCAAATACCATTCAATTGCTGCAAACACTTCCCAGATAAGATCCATCTTCCCGACTTAAAACCACTGAAGCTTAGCAAGATCAATAATGAAGACCTCGAGATAGCCCATTACAAACTCAATTAGTATTCTGAAGAACTCGATAAACTAATCAATCAACATTTTTGGAACACTTCCTTCTCTTATTATTGTTCTGAAGCTAGATAGAGCCAAAATTACTTGTTCTAATGAAAATTCGTTCTTGGAGGAGAAACATTTGTTAACATCTGTTTTATTAAAAAATGATTATCCTTTATCGTTTATAAATAAGGAATTTTCAACAATCGATCGAATAGAACAGAACAACTTAGAACGAGATCCTACAGCATACACAAGGAATAATATGAGGAAAATAACAATACCGTACATAAAAGGACTATCAGAAAAACTTAAAAGGATAGGAAATAAATTCAACATTTCAACAACATTCAAAACAACAAACACGTTGAGATCTATTTTGTCCAAAACCAAACCTAACAATGAACAAGAAAGGACAAAGAATTGCATTTCTAAATTACCTTGTGAATGCGATCAGTTTTATTTAGGTGAATCATCAAGGCCATTAAATGTTAGAATAAGTGAACATCAATCTTATATTAAAAATAGAGAATTTGATAGATCTCAAATCTGTAAACACGCATGGGATAATGAACATAGGGTTCAATGGAGTAATTCAAATGTAGTCCTAAAAGAAATGGATGGTAAAAAAAGAAAAATCAAAGAAGCGGCTCTAATTATGTTAAATGAGGCCAATTGTGTCGCAAATTCTTCGGCAGAATGTAGTAGGATCTGGTTACCAATATTGAAAGAGGAAGTTATTAATAAGAAAATACCAGTATTAGTAAGTCAGTAACATATAGAGGATACATCATTTATGTTTTTTAAATAACGTAACATATAAAATCAGAATTTTGATGTTTGTTGAAGGTAAACTAAATTCACGAACAAATACTTACAATGTCGGGATAGTATTATGAAGTTTTTTTCCTGGTTTTCCCTCATAATTTACTATGGAATCACTAACAGGAGAATTTTACTGTCATCATGTCATGTGTTTGTCTTTTTAAAGACAAATTACATGCTATGATTTTTTCTGACGGATATTCTCAAGTTAAAGTTGATTTCATGTAATCGAATGAACTATCTTATAAGTAAAGTCGTCCCAGGAGCGCAACTCAACAATATTGGCAATATCATTTTAAAGTCGTCTACTTTAAAATGCATAATGTATGTCTGAATTGTCAATATAAATGAGTCAGATAAAATTAAATTATTAGAAGAATTTTTCACTATGTAACAAAAAACAAAATTTGTTTAATTTACTGTTTGTATTTTGAGAACGATTTCCGAAGTGGAAATTGAAACGTCAATAAACGTATTTTTATCTTTAATTGTGGCTTATTCCCAGTTTAATAGTAATTTACTTCCTTCTCTTATCTAGATATTATCTCTGTCTTTGGTCCAGTTGGTGTTTCTCTTCTTTCTTTTTAATTGTCGTTTAGATGTAATTGTGAATACTATCAAATCTCTCCTTACTTCCACGACTTGTTCATATTCAATGTACATCTATTACACTCCAGCATTGTGTGAGTAACAGTGTTGGAATATTCGCAGTGTAGCCATTTATCTGTATCTGTATTTCTGAACCCATGAAGATACGTACTAAAACAGATAATCTACCCAGTTCTTTAGGCTCAGGATCAGCATCGTGGTCCACTGGGCAACATCTTCCGTGTTGTTTTACTCTTCTTGTCATCTTTCCATTGATCTTTTCCTTTCTTTTTTTATGGCTATTGTCAAATGCTCCCTTCTCTTATAGAGATGTCACCTTTCTACTGCTAACACTTTCAGAGGAACACAACCCGTGATAGTCCACAAGGCCGCCGCAGATACAGTCCTGTAAGCGTATGCTACTCGCAACAGACTCGTTGTGTCTACCCTTATCATGAGCGTAATATTAGGTATCTACATCTAAATATAATAAAAAATTAATTTAAATCCTAAACTATATTTTAAATAATAATTTGTAAACAAATTAAATTTGTGTGTGAAAGACTAGTTACATTTTGCTACTATTCTTTATATATGTTTTCCTTTATATGCTCTGGAGGGACGGCGGTTAACCCCCAAAATCGCCCCTTGGATGCGTCACTGAATTATGGGTTTTTAGTCAAGTTGAAGTCATGTAAACTCGATATACGACGAGTATCTGGTTTGAGTTATAGATGATATATATCACTCAGATTTTTAATATCAACTTTAGCATTAATACATAAATAATTAATAAAAATGTAAGATATTTCAATAAATTCCATTTTGAATTTGTTTTTTGAATGACCCGTGGAATGTACGTGTGTAACTAATGCACAACGGTCTGGATGAAACGTGAATCAATTTTATGGAGAGTGATCCTAGATTTGAGTAGTTTAACCAATGTACCACTTATTACATGAGGAAGAGGGAATGCTGTAGACGTAGACAATATTACTAAGCTTATCTTTTTGTTCTGCTTGCGACAGTAAAGTTGCTCCATTTCTTTTGACAACTTTATCAATATCGTTAAATTTCTGTTTAATAACACTTACCTCTTTAATAATAAATTATATGAATTCGGTACCCCTTTGGGAGCAAATTTATTATTTTATTAAGTGTTAAACACTGTCATTCCTGTCGTATTCTTTAACATTGAATTCATCAAAAAATATGTTAATGGCATCATCTTGGCTCTGCCATCTCATAAAATTGATGAATTACTAATAAAATTCTTAAACAGTTTCATTCCAGAAATCTATTTTATTATAGAGAGAGGATACTAACTTTTTAGTACCCTTTATAGATATTAAGATGAGACGGGATGTAAATAATATTATTAAAATTTATTGGTATCAAAAACCTACTCATTGAGGGAGGTATTTAAACTACCATTCATCTTACGAATACTCTACCAAAATTAATTTAGCGAAACAAATGAAAAATAGAATCATCAAATTATCAGCTGCTTCATTCCATAACAAAAACCTTGAAATACTACACAAGTTATTTATTGGTAATTCTTACTCAAATACATCAATTAATTGTTTAACACAGTCCATAATGAAGACTTAGCATACTTTACTATGCGTTATTTTCTTTTATTTTATTGGATGGATGGTTTAGAGTGATACAGTTTATGTAGATATTATTCCTTAGAAAATTTATTACATCTTCAAAATTTCTTACATTGAACAAACTTTGTATTTTGTGCGTGATAAATACATATCTTTTAAAATTAAATTACTTTTAATAGGAAACTAATATTTAATTAAACCTAAACGTTTGGTTTTTCCTTAAAAACACATCCATTAAAAAAATCAATGGGTTTTAAGACTATACATTACTTCTG